CTGGGGGTTCACCAACCACCTGCTGTGGTTTATGGTGTAGTAGTTGTACCCCATGTTACTCAGCACTCTCCTGTATGCCCTCCACTCATCACTCATAATGCTACTTCCTGACTTAAAGGGGACCTATCATGCAAAATGCACTTTTGTACGTCTTTTATACATGAATATGTGTCCCCGGTGTGTCAGGGAACTCACCAAGTGTCAGCAAACACAACCCTCTCTCTTTTCCTCCATACCCAAATCTCTACAAAAGGGGCTGCAACGGAAGTGATTATTATTTAAATTTTTCTGACGTCAGAAAAGGGGTGCTCCGCCTATATGGGCAACTCTCCACCTATCAGGGGAATGAGAGACCGCTCGAAAGCGCTGGAGACACTTTAGTACATATGCCAGGCCTGTAAGTGGCGCTGTAGTCTGCCACAAAAGCAGAATCAGCCCCCTTGCAAAAACAGGGCTGGAAAAGAGCAAATAGAGCGAAATGAGGCATGGCTAAAATGCATGATCTGTTTGGTATTTCGAAAAAAAAACAAAAAAACTTCACAGACATGTTTTGGTATGGCCCTACAATATATGTTTCAAATATAGCATGATAGGTCCACTTTAAATAAACATACATTAATTCCACAATTAACACATATCCACATATTCAAAAGAACATGATGCTTTGGCCCCCAGGGTGTGGCGGCCCCTTAAAAGGAGAAAAGAAAGATAACAATAATGGATCTCTGTTCAGTCTCTTCCCTGCTACTATGCTTACTGCCTACTGTCTTTGTGAGTTAGAGGCAGAACAGAAGAAGACAGCTGAGAATTGTCTGTTTGCAGAATCCTACTGCAAACACTTTTCCATAATGCTGCAGACACAACTGACAGGGGCAAAGGGAAAAGGGGGAGGCCGAGAGAGACAGAGAGCGCTAAACGTATGTGAAAAGGTTGCCCCCGGACACAGTGTCAACCCGCATCAGGGCAAAGGAGACACTCAGCTTGTGCACACTCACACACACTCAAAGACTAACACACGTATTTGAAGAGCTATTGCAGCAGGGCCAGCTCATAAAATGGAGATATAGTAAGGAAGAGAGAAGAAAGGTCTTTTCTGAAATGACACTTCTTAGAATCTCCCCTTCCCTTCTCCCCCTCTCTCTTGCGCCCACTTTACCCTCTCATTTTCTCCATCTCCACACGTCTGCCTCCTCCTCCGCCTGGCCCCAGGGAAGGAGAGGAGAGGCGGATACGGATGTAATCCACAGCCCGCCAGTGTAAGCACAAAATTAATTCTCTTTAAGCCACAAAGAATTAATCCCTCTCCTTGTGCTTGGTGCTGAGCGAGACTTGCACACAAACAATAGCGTTTGTACACACACATGTACACACATACACGCACGCCAACTCTAAGACACTGTACAGATGCAAAAGCACTTGACACCCCCCAACACTTCCCCATATTCATATTCACATGCACAGACCCACACCCTTAGGCTCTGTAACCACACACACTCACACACACTTTTGGGCTTCTTAATTCTCATTAGCACTGGTAATGGCACATCAGAGCACAAAGAGGGTTTTAATCAGCAACCTCAGTCTAACAAAGACGCCCTGCACCCCCCAGGCTCTCGGCCTCCCACCTTGCAGCCTAAACAAAGCACAACAACCTTTAGACCGGTCCCAAAGGTGTGGTGAAAGCAATAGACATAAAGGTAAATTCATTATAGACGTGGAAAGATCTACTAAAATGTGGACTCACAGTCTTCACGGGTTTGGATGTACAGGACGTTGCTACGGACCCCATCTCCAGCCTGGGTGTAGGCCAGGACCTGGATGCTGTAGTTGGTGAACTTCTCCAGGCCTTTGAGCTCCACCTGCTCCTTGATGGTTGTGATGTTTTGCATTTCACCCCATTCTGATAAACAAAAGGACAGAGATGTTCAGACAAATGGCTGAGCAGTTTTGAGGTATAAAGGAAGAAGCCAGACACACTGAACACACCTCCGTCCGGAAACACAGCCCAGAAGACGACGCGGTATCCCTTCAACACGCCATGCAGCGTCATCCTGGGAGGCTCGGCCCATGTGATCACTGCCTCATCCGATGTTACAGAAATCGCTCGCACATTCTGAGGAGGCTGGCTGGGAACTGAAGACAAAGAGGAAGAGAGAAGAGAAATGCTAAGATCAAAACAACATATATTCAGTTATTTAACATTATGAATATCACCTAAAAAAGAATAGTCCATTCGTAGAAGGAAGAAAAACATTTGCTGACTGAGCTAAGCCACAGATAAAATTGAGAAAATAACTAAATGATTAAATCCCTTAGAATTTAGTTTTATTTAACCCTTTAAATAGCTTAAACTGGATGATCTTATTCCACATTGTCACAATATCCCATTCATATGTTTTGCACCAGCTTATACTAGCTCTTCATTAAAGCTGTATGATGTTTATACAGAGTGAATAATTGAAAAACCCAATAGTCTAGATTGCTGTGTGCATAACTTTTACACATTTCTCAGTGAAAATATTTGGTATCTTTAGAGACTTAACTTAATTTCCCCTTTAGGTAGGATTCAGGATTGGAAAATTGTCAATTTAATTGTTTTTGCGTCATTTGATACACATTTCCCCCCAAAGGTTGCCAGATATATTTGAGATTAATGAATATTTTTAGACATTTTAAAACTAAATAGGTTTGAAAAAACGGAGTTTGTAATGACTGGTCCATCACATGGTCGTAGGGGTCAGAGGCTACCATTTTGGCCTCAAAATTAGGACATTGGCAACTTAATAAATAAATACCTCCTCTCTGAAACCCCTACATTTCCATATCAAACCTGAAGTGAGTAAACAGGCTAGCGATCGATAAAAAGCTAATGACATGCGTCCAGCCTGGTGTAAAGGACCATCTCTACAACCACCATCTCTCTTTCTCTGTACAAGCCTCCTTCTGTCCCCACAAGCCCAGGTGTCTCTTCTATTGGCTGCCGCTGACCATTAGTCTTTCAGGCTTTGAATAACGCACACTGTTGAAGATGAACAGAAGTCAACTTGTGATAGAAGGGGGGGCCGGAAGAGAGGAAGAGAGGCGAGTGAAAGACAGAGAGCAATGAAAGAGAGAGATTTGGCCAAGTCCACCAGGGAATTTCTCTGCAGCTGGTGAAGAGGTGGAGAGAGGAGGTGGGGGGAGGACGGAGGAAGAGAGGGAAGGGGGATTATAATTCTGAAAAACAGGGTTTGGCACAAATAAATCTTTAAGCTAAATAATTAGAAAGAAACAAAATAAGAGATATAAGACAAAGAATGAGGATATGAATGAAAAGGTGAGCTGGTTTTCCAAATTGTAAGCATTAGGTTCGGGGTTAAAAAGATGGAAGGCAGATGCATGATGGGTAAACACTACAACAAATCAGTAAGACTGTTGATGTATTGAATAACCTTGCATAAATAACAACATAAATGGAAGGAGAAAAAAAAAAGAAGGGCAATACGAGGACACAATGAAAGGCAGTTTTGGACTGGGTGACAAGGGTGGAGGAGGAGAAGGGGGTGAGGGGCAGAGGAAGAAGGGAGGAAGGGAGTTAAAAGCAATGGGGGCAAGGGAAGGGCAGAAAAAGATGAAAAGAGGGAGCAGAGAGACAATGTGCTCAGCTGTGGATAATTACAGCAGGAAGCAGCGGAGGGAACGAGAGAGAGAGACAGACAGACAGAGAGACAAGCTAATTATAATTATTTTTAGTATGCTTGTTGTTATCACTATTATCATAATGGCCATCAATATCACTGTCGCCACGGTGACAGCCATAGGGAAGAACTGGAGGGCTCATCCGGCTCTGGACCAATGGGGCTCCGCCAAATGTTCACTGGGTGGACAAGTATGTATGTGACGTATTTGTTTGTTTGTATGGGGAGAAAAAACAAATGTGGATGAGGTACATGTATGATTGAGCGTGTAGTTAAAGATATGTGCATTAGAAGCGTACAGATTAATTGAATTGATTGCAGCTCAACGCTGAAAAAAATGAGCACAAGAAGAACAATATATTTCAAGAACAATACCAAGTGCTCTTATAAGATATGATGATATTTGTCCTTGTAAAGATGCTTTTATGGGTGTGTTAATATGGCAGCTTCTTTTTGGATTTATTTGGCTCCTTCCTGGCCAAAGGTCAAAAGGTCAAATGTATTATTAGTTTACAAGAAAGCCTTTGGAGGTCCAATCCCCAACATGAATGAAGTCTAAAAAGTGATTTCTAATAATGAAAAAATCGGAATCTAAATAGTGACTCTGTTCAATACGAACACGCAGACAGTGGTGGATAATCTTTGCCCTATTTCTTTATGTTTTAGGAAAAAATACATTTAAAAAAATGTTTTTGCATATCTCTATTAAATGTGGTTGTAGATAATCTCAAATTAAAAAGTGTTTGGTTTGGAGCTGAATAGAGTTGTGTATTGCAGATATAATAATAACCTACATATTTCATAATATGAATACTGGGAAATGCTTTTGTAGTTCATTCAATCATTTGCTCATTCATCTATCCATTCGCTCAACATTTGGCCCATCAGGCTGCATAGCAGTATCTCTGCATGTCTCACTGTACAGGGATCACTCAATGCTCTTTGCGGTGCTGCTGAATGGGTAATGTGTCTATGAGACTATGTGTGTCCTTGGTATTTGTAAAAAGCATTGGATGCCAGCAGCCAACATTTATTCTTGTTGAGAGAAGAGAGAATGTAATAATTTTAGGATACAAAGCATGGCATGATTTGACATAGATCAGACAGTGAGACAGCTAAGAGAACAATGGCAGCAGACAAACTGCAGTAACAGTGAATCAAAGCCAGAGCAGACAGTGGGGGATATTTCATAGGCCTGACAGTTTACTCTGCCACTGTTTTTAATACACCATGCAGTTTAACTTGTGTCCTTTATTGCTGCTGGTGACCAGTTCACATTTCCGCTCTTAAACAGACAAGATAAAATACATCCCTTTCCCCATAAGTCCCCATGCTGAGATATATATATATATATATATATATATATATATATGTGTGTGCTGTTTACTGCGATCCTCACCATCTTCCAGTGTTGTGGCATTGATCTCTGAGCTGGAGGGTCCTGTGCCGGCTCTGTTGAAGGCCTGGACCACCACACCATACTGAGCAAACTTCTTCAGGTTGTCCAGGGTGTAGACCTCACTGTCTCCAGTGGCCTTCATCTCCACAATGCTGTACTGGCCGTTACTGCCCGGGCCGTTCTCTCTGTATCCAATCTGGTAACCCCTGATAACCCCGTTCTGCAGCTCCTTCCTGGGGGCCTGAAGAATGAAAAACAGATATACAGTACTGACATCAAAAACATATTAGATTACTTTGCAAGCAGCTGCAATATGAGACGATCAGATAATTCAATGTTACACAAACACATCATCTTTCAGGAAGTACATAGCTGTTCAGAAGGCAGGCAATTTGAATACTTTACCTTCCATGTGACCCTGATACTCTGAGAGGTCACTGGCTGCAGGATCACCTCCATGGGAGGACCATCAGGCTCTGCAGAGACAGAGATTTGTGAGAGAGGGTTATATGGGTTGCATGTCCTACGGTCAAACCAACAATCTGTGGCTTTCATGTTTCTTTTAAGTGTCATGCCCCTCAAATATTCTGTTCTACACTTTTCACATACAGTTTTCTCTCTTTCATTCAGGTAGATTCCCAATAAAAAATATCTGTCCAAGGACAGATGTTAGGGCAACACAGATGCAATGACTAAGGGGTAATACAACAAGCAAAAAAGAAAATATTTGCTCACATTAGTGCAGTGCTGTACTTACGTGCTTCCTCTGTGCTGATGGTGAGTTCCTTGCTGGCCTCGCTCTTTCCTATCGAGTTATAGGAGTACATGCGGATGCTGTAGACAGAAGCGGGGTGCAGGTCCACGATGTTGGCCTGATTGTTGCTGGGGGAGATGTTTCGGGTTGCATGTTTCAGCTCCCAGGTATCTGGTGGAAATTGATATGATAAATTACGTAGTTGGCCATCATAATCCCACTTAAAAAAACACATTTTGATTCATTTAGGGATATGTTGTTCTCACTCTTATGCAATATTAAGGCTATGATTGAAATCCTATTCTAACATTGTGCAAAGTCTGAACTGAAATGTTGCATTTCATTTTTACAGTTGCTTATTATGTGGACGTTGTGTACACAGGAAATGTCGAGATACATGTTGGAATAGCAAGAATTTCAAGTATGAGACGTGAGCATACTGGACAAACTCAACTGCCTCACAATGCATTGTGTCCTCAGTGTTTTATCCAACTGGTTGAATAAAACAGTTGTGAAAGAGGGGCAAATGTTGTATGCAGTACAGTGTATGTTAGTATGACATTTTGAACTCTAAGTCCTATTTAAGACTCAAGTACAGCTCTTGAGAATAGTATTTAGTTCAACAGTCAATTTCTATACATTCTGTTGTGTTTCAAATAAAGAAAAATAAACACCAAGAGCTCAGCACATACATACGCTGTCAGATTACATTTTCTATCCTATTTCCTGTGAAATTAATAAAATACCTTTTTTCACCTACCTGTCTTGTTCTTATACTCAATATCATACGAGGTAATGACACTGTTTCCATCAAATCTCTGTGTCCACCGTAGATTCATACTGCGATCTTTCACTTCTCGCACTTCCAACTCTGGAGGGTCTGGGGGCTCTGATGATTTAAATTAGGTAGAAAGGGAGAAGAACAACATTAGGGATGAAATGGTGAAACCAAAATAGAGACACTTTTGGTTGGAAAAAGCAGGTTTGCGAAGCTGTGATCAATCTAAAATGGGGATGGTACATGCATTTGTATATGAATGGTTACCTTGCACAGTGAGCTGGATAAGGCCTCGTCCTTCGCCGTAAGAATTGATAGCATGACATGAGAAGAAGACTGAATCCTCACGCTCTGCTGGCTTTAGCTGTTTGGAGAAAGTTATGAATACAAAATGTCAAAGAGACCAACATCATCTTTGAATGTAAAGCACAGCTTCATTGCCCTGGTGTCAGTACATCTTTTACTCTACCCGCATATTTGGTATTTAAGTGAGTCACTGCTCGCTGCATTGGGAGGAGAGCTGCACTTGGTAACCCCAGGTGTCAAGATTCACTTCTTGCCACCCACTTGCTCAAAAAACGTCAAATGACACACCCTCTGTGCCATTTGTGTCCCTTTAGCTGGTAATGGCGTATCCTCACAGACTGTCGCTAAATCACAATAACCCTATTGAAGCATGTTTTGCCTGTACTTTAAATAAAAATACATGCTTTAACAAGTAGATATGTCTAAAAGCACACGTGAAATAGATGAATTATTTTTGAATGAGATAAATTACAATCATTTTAAGGCGACAGGCAAGAGTCCCATCTGAAGTCTATATTTTGAGATGGATAAATGACACCAAAGGTGAATTAATCTTGTGGAATATGCAAACACAAGCTTGTTCCCTCTTGTGCGCATCAAAACAGCAGGAGGGGGGCTATCCTCAAATATCACTGGACACAAAGTTATTTAGCTCCTCTTGGTTGTTACAGGGTGACCCTCTCTTAGTATCATAAACCAAAGACAGTCCATCAACAGGTGCAACAGCTGCCTGCACATTTTCACCTTTCCTGTGATACCCAACACATCATTTTAGTGGAGGTAGACATGTGGCTGCCTTAGCCAACATTGTGTGGTGGAGTACAATGATGACATGGCTATTTGCAGGTCTAAAAGAAGAGAGACATCATTCTTTTTTGGCAAAATATGTTGTGTGGATGTCCCAAAACTGAATAGCTTCCTCTCGTGAGATGATGGTCCGAACACTAACAGCTAAGTGATGATATATCATGGTGCAGAGCAAACTGATGTTAAACAATTAGATAGGCCTTGACTGTTACCAACCTTTAACAACCTCTAACACACTCTGTCTGATTTCCCCGTTATTTCCCACACTGCACACTAGAATCTGCCTTGACTCATAAAAACAGAGCTCAGACAGACATAAGAGAAAAGTGAAAGCTATCTATTTGTCATAAATAAATTGCTGTGTGATATCGTGAATTAGATGCCTTACTCTATATAAGAGCTTCTTACCTTGAGTGTGGACAACACCTCGTCCGTCTTCTCGTTGGGACTGGTGATAATGGAGTATCGGGGGTTGCGGTCAGGGTCAATGACTGTGTCGCCTTTCTCCCAGCGGATGATGATGGGCCATTCTCCCCTGGCTGTGCAGTTCAGCTCCTTCAAGTGACCCTTCTTAGCCATGGTGGTGTTGGGGTGACTGGTGATCATCGCGGGGACTGGAAGGAGAAGGGAAATGAAGTGTGAGATGAAGAGAAGGGGAGGACAAATGCGGGCGAAATGGTGGCAGTAAACAGATTGATGAGGGGGATATTAGAAGACAGAGGCGGATAAGAAAGAGAGATAGGAGGGAAAGATGAAGTAAGTGGATAATAAGCAGGGTTTAAGTGGAAAGAGAGTAAGACGTGAAATGGAGAAGAGAAGAGAATAGGGCAGTTTAAAAGGTGGAGTTCAGTGTAGCCAAGTTCCATTGCAGTAGAGTAATGAAGAGCTATGGTCAATGAGATAAAGTCAATAAACCTCCTCTCCTATTCTCCAATAGTTAACACTGGAGTGTAGGTGAATGGACAGGAAGAAGCGATACACTCCACCTTTCGTGTACACTCTACACATAAAATCACTCCCAATATTCTCTGGCCACACACACACACAACACACACACACACACACACACACACACACACACACACACACACACACACACACACACACACACAATACCGATCTGAGGAGGGTTCTGCTGTTTTGTTTTCATCACTAATTCATCTCACCCTCCCTCTTTTCCTCTTTTTCTCCCTCTCCGCTGAGCGAAACAGACAGCATTGAGGGAGGCAGAGGAGAGGAACGGTTCAATCAATAACACTAACACCAGGGAGAGAGAGGCAATCCTGTGAAAGCAGAGCTTGGTGAAACTATTGCCTGTCTTTATGTGCACCTGGTTACATGTGTCTGTGTTTGCAGATGTCAAAAGAAGCCAGATAGTAAGCGTTAACATCTCTTTTGTTGGTATTGCTGTTTGTTAAGGTCAAGGTGCCGCTTCCTTCAAAGAAAACTGCCCACTTGTAATGCTTGACTTGATATTGACTGTATGGGTGTATATTTCCCCCATGCATGTTCACATTGCATTACATAGGGGTGTTACTGACAGTGAGGGCGGGATGAGAGAGATTGATTGCAGATAATGATTAAGCTCAAAGTGTTTTTGATTGTGTGCAGACAGATCCCAAGAGTCAAAAGATCAATTGCTCAGTTGCTCACTTTCTCGCTGCCTGTCACACACACACACACACACACACACACACACACACACACACACACACACACACACACACACACACACACACACACACACACACACACACACACACACACACACAAACCCCCATTCTCCCTCTCAGTGTTCTTTATTGTTTTGCTCTTATGTCCATGGTCAGCTTTGCTGCCCACACGTCACAGGGAGAGCAGTGCGAGCTGGCTCATTGGGTTGCAACCGTTTGCGTGAAGACTGATAAGGCTGGAGCATTGGAGCATCCCAGATGGCCTCTCCGCAGTCAGGTATGGCATGAATAACTCGTACTCTGCAACATTAGCTCGCATTAGATTGTATACTCACTCTTAACGGTAAGAACCATGCTCTTGCTGATGTCTGAGCCCACGCCATTGGAGGCCTGACAGAGGTAGAAGCCCCGATCCTCTTCCAGGACATGTCGGATGAGTAGAGAGCCGTTACCCATGATCTGGATACGGCCCGTCAGAGGCACAGGGTGATACTGCTGCGGATTCCCAATACCCGCTAGACAGAAAGAGACAGGAGATTATGATGAATTGTACCTTAACTGAGGATTCATCGATTTTGATCAAACTTTTTGTTGGGCCGTGTGAACTTATAAATATGACAATGTGTCAAGAACAGCCAGCAGAGACACACCACAGTACATAGATAAACAATGAAACATGGGTCATGTACCTAGTGCAGCTTTGGCATGTTTCCACATGACTTTTGGAGGAGGGTACCCATCTACTGAACAGTTTAGGATCCCTGCCTTCCCATAGATCCCATCCTGGTTGTTGGGCTGAACCACAAACCGAGGAGGCACTTGGGGAAGAAGGAGAGAAGATATGAATAAAAAAACACTTAATTTTGACCATACTCCAACTTTAAGTCACCCAACTTTATTTGACTGCAATACTAAATGCCTTCAGTAGTTTCATTAAAAAACTCTTCCCTTTACCCTTCAACCCTTTCAAAATATCACTTTTATACCTATATTCTCCGCTCCACTTTTTCTTACCTGTAACTGTGAGCTGCCTCTCCGTGCTGACAGTGGCAGCATCGTTGCTAGCAATGCAGGTGTAGTTGCCATTGTGTTTGAGCGACACTTTGGATATTTGAAGGGAGCTCATGAACTCCTTTGTGTCGATGGTGATGCCCGAGGAGGCCACGATCTCCTGCCCGTCCTTGCGCCATGTGATGCGTATTGGCATATCTCCAGACGACACCACGCAGGCGATGTACATCAGTTTGCCGATGGAAGTAGGTGGAAAGTCAAATGGCTGGATCAGTGGAGGAACTGTAAGAGGTGGAGAAGGGGTGGATGAAAGATTGAGCAAGAGATGGAAAGGTAAGGAAGGTGGAGTAAATACAAATGAAGTAGAGGTGAAGTAACCGATATAAGTTAAACGGATAGTTCAGGCAGATGAAATTGAGGAATAATACATGATGATAAGGAATGGAAAATAAAGGAAAAAGATGAATGAATCAGTGAGAGGGTTGTTTAAATGAGTGGGTGAGTAAGAGGTGAATATAGAGATTTGAGGCAGATATGAATAAATTAATGATAAAGAAAATAGTCAGATGTGAAGACACAGAGAGAATATGGTTAGACACATAGATGTGAAGATTGGGGGGCATCGGGGGGACATGGGATGGGAGGGTGAGTGAGTGATGTTAGGTAGAAGGATACAGAGGTGGGAGACATAAAGACATAGTGAGGTTTTTTGGGCATGGTTCAGAATCTGCTATTTTTACCTGACATGCTAATCGGTAAACTAGTGGTGTTTCTGTCCATCTGATTTCTTAAGTCTTTCATCAAAGCCTGGACCCCCAATCCTTCAAAAACACCGCACCCTGGCCTACTAGCCCACTCCCCACTCTGCAGCTGCCTGTGCCCCCTCCACTCCACTCCACCCTGCCCTGGTAAAGCCAGCCTATAATAGCTGCTCTAATTAGAGCCCCATCCGCCGGGGGAAGAACGGTGTTGCTATGGAGAGCAGCGGAGGTGATGGCGGTGGTTTGGAGTGGGGAAGGAGGGGAGGGTTGTGGTGGTGGTGGGGGGGTAACAGCTGAGACATCTGGGGGATTTAATCTGGGCCTCGTTAAAATTCATCTAATTAAATCAGAGACATGACGAGCACACATTTATACAAGCACATACCTACACCCATACCAAACGCAGCTAATGCACATTTACCCACGCATGTGCATGTCCATACAAGTATACTTGTGTACACGCATAGAAAAACACTGCAAAGACACCCGAGCATCACAGACTTCACACGTCGGCTAATTTCAAGACGGAACACACAAAACTCACACTCAACAACTTCCTTCAACAAACGTGTCATGCCATCGCCGGAGAGAAGAGCGAATATCATACAAGATGACATGAAGAATATATAGCACACACTAACACTATGTAATTCACACACCTATTTGCATAAGAATAGCATGCACACACATACATTTGATCCAATAGCACTCAACATGTGGTTGAGAGGCTGCACTGTCGGCTCTGCCCCTTAATCAGGGGTTATTAGAGGCAATGCAGAGCGTACAGCTTTCTTCTTCCTCTCCCTCTGTTTCACTCTCCATCCCTCCTTCAGTAACCCTCTAATTCATTCATAATTTCTTCCGCCTGCGTCTTCGACATCATGGCCCTCTCAAACACACCTAGATGCACCTAAATTATGATATAAAGATATATTCACTCAATATGTTTAACTCATTGGACAATCCCCCAAAAAGTATACACTTATGTATCAGTTACACCACCGAACAAACTAATATGAGCGCTGCTATATTGAGAGACATCTGTATGACTCTTCAGCCTTATGTAAAAGAACTGTAAAACTGTCCGACAAAGTTTTTTAAATGATGACCTGCAACTGACCTTTGACGGTGATATAGACGGTCTGCGTGATGAACAGCTGTGGTTGGATGAGCACGCTGCAGACGTAGGCCCCCTCATCCATCCCCTTCTGAACATCGCTGAGCTTCAGGGTCCCATTCTCATAAACCACCTGAACAGAAACCATTAGTGTTATGATGCATGAATGGTCTTCTTACTCACACATTTTTTAAAAGCTGTGAATTCAAATGAGATGTCCAAAACATATCCGGCACTGATTCAGACCTCCCCATTCCTCCCCCCCCCCAGGTTCTGATATATTTTGAGCAGAAATGCAGAGAGCAAAATCCACCTGGCGATGATTGTCAGGCAGCAGAAGCCCCTCCTTGTACCAGTTGATTGAGTAATAAGGGTACCCAATCACACGGCAGTTTATGAAAGAGTTTCTTCCTGCCACTGCAGTGATGTTCTTCATAGGCCGAATCCTCGGTGGACCTGATGGGCAGAGAGAGACATATGGGCAGAGGGAGAGGGATGCAGAGAAAGAGAGAAGGATTGACAAGAGGAAGAAAATAGAGGGAAAAATTATAAAATCGTTAGATGATGGTGTCAGAAACAGGTTTTGGAATTTTAGGAATAAATGGGAGAGTTGAAAAGGAAGGGAGTTGGGGAGTAGTTAGGAGACAGCAGAGAAAAAAAGCATGTGAGGGTATAAAGAGAAAGAGAGATGTTAGAGTGCAAACTGCTATGAGTTGTATCACTGTCAATGTATCCTGAACCTGCCACATGTGTAGAGTGCAGGGCCAGCCTCATCGTGGAAACAATCAATGCATTTTCTATTGACTGTGGGGCATGGGTAAAGTGCTGTACTTTGTTAAAGGTTGCTTAGTGTGAAAAACACATTGTATTCTGATGGTTTCAAAGCAATGAACATGTGAAATCTATAAGGTTCAAACTACATAGTGTTTTGAGGGACGAGGAGAATTAGCAATACTGGTCAAAACAAGTAATTGGCACAGTAGACTCACAGGATCAAAACATCTAGAAAATATCTGATAAAAAATACAAATATATAACAGAAATTAATCTTGAATGCCTCAATATGTTTGTCATGTACTGTTGCCTAAAGACAGAGACTGAAGGCTGTCGGCCACCGGGCAGACAGACACAAAATGTGTTTAGCATTACTGGAAGTCACTGGGAGCGATCCCTCAATCATCCGTCACTTCTCCTGTGACCTTCTCACCATTGTAAGTCTTGTATCTTTGTTTTTGTTTCTCCTTCCAGCCCTCCTACCCCCACTTCTCTTCCTCCGTTTCTCTCTCCTTCCTTTCTCAGTGTGTGCTGAGCTTTGAAGTCTCAGCTCTGACGAGTGAAAGATGTATTATTCAGTAGCACAGACACACACACACGCCGACACACAAGCACATACAGTATAACGTGCATGTGTGTTCAACAAAGTCTGTGTGGCTCAGTATCTTTGCTGCCGGCCTCTCACTGAACGGGATAAGTTGAGTGTATGGCATTTCAGCAAGTGTGTTCGCTTACCAATGTGTTACCGCTTTGTCGTGTGTGGTTATGCAGGTGTGAGTCCATGTGTGTGTGTATTTGTTGAATATGTCTTGCATGTAGAGCTGAAACTCTCTGGCAATGAAGTTCATTCTCACTCCAATGATTACCCTGGCATGTCATCTTAGAGCGGACTCGCATGTCACAACTACACATCTCCACAAAGAACAGAGAAAACAGAAACAGAAACAGATAGAGAAACAGAGAGAAAGAGCGTGATACATCCCTGTCCATCAGTGTCACTCCTCATTCTTGTTGTCTCCGACGACAGTGACATCACCAGTCCTGTCACCAGAGTTCACCATCACTCCCTCAGCAGACACTGGCACTCCTCACTCTTCTAACCTCTTCTCTTATTTCAGCTCTCTTCCCTCTATCTGTTGCCCTCTGTTTCTTTCTAAAGTGTCTTCATGCTTTTGTCTCACATTTGCTAAATCTCACTTAATCTCTTTTTGTCACTTTTCTTTTCTATATGTTTTGCAAAAAAATCACTATTTGAACAATTTGTATGCCTGTAAACGTGTGTGTGTGTGTGTGTGTGTGTGTGTGTGTGTGTGTGTGTGTGTGTGTGTGTGTGTGTGTGTGTGTGTGTGTGTGTGTGTATACAGGTAACTGAAGTAGGTGGATCAGTGGGTGCATTTTTTATGTGTTCTTATGCATGTGCTTTTTCACAGGCACATGTGCAGAGCCACAGTAAGCATGACAACAGGACATTAACAAACTGCAAGAAAGAAAGAGAATGAGAAAAACAACATAAACACCATATGTGCTGCTGAAGCAACAAATACAGTAACACACAAGAATACAGATTGACGGACAAAACAAAAAAGTAAAGAGAAAGAAAAGTATATTTACAATAAAGCAAAACACACATATAGAGATAGAGGTAGAGATATAGAAGGGTACAGGGTAGGGGTCAGGCTATGGTAAGCATCTGTATGACTGATATTGAAAAGTAGACAGGCACCTCTTACGTTTATGCGCGCTTGGTACTCGGCACTACCGGCCGAGTTTCGTGCGGCGCACCGATACACTCCTCCATCGCGAATCTGCGGGCTGCTGACGTTGACGTGGCTCACAGTGCTGCCGTCGGAGAGCGTGTACTGGCTGGCTCGGACACGCGACAGGTCCCGGGCCACAGGCTCGTCGTCCAGGGTCCAGGTGATGGTGGGGGGGGGCGCTCCTTTGGCAGCGCACATCAGGGAAAAGGGTTCACCGGGGACCACCACCCTCTCGCTGAAGGAGGCGACAATACGGGGCGTACCATCTGAGAAACAAGACACGAGAGGTGAGAATTTAGAAACAAATGATAACAGTGTGTTACATTGTATTTAAATTAGCACTATGTTAAAAACCATCATACTCTAGGAAGCAGAAGCATATGACATTTGTTGTAAGGTACTGAAGTAACACTTCAGTCAGAAACTAAATGGAGCTGCATAAAGTCAAACATAACACAGCCAATCTGCTTGTGTGCTAGACTTACCTTATCCATATGAAGATACGGGCTATGGGTGTATACAGTATATGCATGTACTCAATGTGTGTGATAAAAGTACAATTAATTTTAAATAATTTGAGGGATTACACTCGATGAACATACCAGGAATCCTATGCAATTATCAGTTTAATGTAAAATAAACTGTTATCACTCAATCAGTTTTCTTTCCCTTGTTAACAATCCTCAATAGTATATTTTTGGAAATACAGAAACAACTGCCGACAGGACTGCACATACAAAGTAGAAACATATCATCATTTCTCCATAGGTGGATTTATATAATGTAAATCATGCGTAATTGTTGTCTTATTAAGCATCAGAAGAAACACCAGCACAATAACCCCGGACAGTATTTGTGATGTACACGTTCATGATTATTCACCGCCATGGTAATCCCTTTCTGTCCTCACCTTCCAGCAGTATGATGGAGAAGTCCTGGGCGGTCTGGCCCTTGCGCGTGGCAAAGCACTGGTAAGCTCCCGAGTGTCTCTTTTGTGCAGCGGAAATGAACAATGTCTCATTGTGAGCCCCCTGGATGGAAAAGTGCTGATCGGGCAGGACAGATTCAGTGTTACGGTACCAGGACACCATAAAGTGCGGGGAACCCTGGACGGCACAGGATAGGATGACTGTGCTGCTGATCCCCGTCTTCAGGTTCTTGGGAGACAAGGTGACCCGCAGTGGATCTAGAGATAAGGAAAAGAAAAGAGAAAAGGAAATGTTAGCCACACCTTCTCATTCATAAATCACAACCTAAACAGTGAGAAACATTACAGTGGTGGTATAACTTCCATAGCTGAACAAAAGCAATTTGTATTGAGTAAGGGCCAGGAAACACAAATCACATTTCGTTTTGGTGTGTATTAGTTGTCTGTGTGTCAAGACTTCTTCCATTGCTTATGTGTGTGTGAGTGTGTGTGCTAGGCAGCGAAGAAAATAGAGATAGAGAGACAGAAAGGGGAGAAAATGTCAGTGAGCAATAAAGCAGCTGGTGTTAAGTGCTGGAGGCTGCTGAATGTGTGTGGGAGAGTGACAGTGCATGTGTAAGACTTTCTTCACAGGCAATGAGTGCACATACTGCAAGTGTGTGTTCAAGTGTGTGTGTGTGTATGTGTACCACCTTCTATGCCCTGTCATAGGAGGTTTGTGGGATGCGCCGTGATGTGCCCCATGGCCAGTCTGCCCAGTGTCCACTAACTTCACCCTTTACCTCTCTCCCAGCGTCCCCTCCTCATTCATTCAAACACACAGCATTATGAAATTCTCTCTGTTTTTCCCTCCCTCCTTCATGTCCTTGGTAAACAGAGCGACAGGCCTGCAAGACCACTGGTCTGCTCTGTCACCGTAGCAACGCTGGGGTTTGAGAGCACAGCGGGGGAACGAGCCGTCCTTGGACATCAGGCTCACGCTCGGCCCAGACGAGGGTGGGTTGTGAGGGTGGGATCTGGGGGGGGGGGGTTTGTCGTGTAGCAGGCACGGGGCCAGGGCAAAGCCAACAGAGCTTATATGATGTCTCCAGTGCACCTGTCCATGACCTGACATCATCATTCATTACTTCTGTCCATCTCACTTACGCTCCAACTGCACTTGTCAGTGTTGAACAATGGAGGTCAAGATAGCTAAGGGAGTTCTAAGTGATGCATTGTTGTGTGCTGAATTTTGAGATGTTATTCTTCTACTGTAATCTCTTTAGTGTTTTACTCACCTATGACATTAAGATGACCCGTCACCTCTTTGGAGCCAAAGCTGTTGGTGACCTCACAGATGTAGTTGCCACTGTCCTCAAGCCTCAAGTCGGAAACGGTGAGGCCGGTGATGCGCCGTGTCCAGCGGGAGTCAGCAGGTAAAGGCCGACCATCCTTCAGCCATCGGATGGTGGGGTTTGGGTATCCGGATGCAACACAGGGCAGCTCAACGCTGTGCCCCATCTGCACCTCACCGGACTGGAAACTATCCAGCACTGAGGGGGTGGACTCCGTAGGGTCTGTGGGTGTAGCACGACACAGAAAGAAACGTAAATTCATACATTTGGTTCCTAAGGAATAGTTGGATCATTCTTACTGAGAGTTAAATGAATACATTGATAATACACCCATGTCTGTACCATAACATAAAGCTACAGCCTACAAAGACTGTAAACAGTGGACACAGCTAGCCTGGCTATGAATTATGGGCTGCACTTTAGTAGTAACTTGGATAACACGTGTTATTTTTATGCTTCTATGCTGGTTAAGGATCTTTAAACTCCATTTCATTGCACAAATCTGTGTTGTACAGAGACAATATATTTCCTTGAACTTGAACCTTAAGTACTGGTAGGTGGATTATCTTCCCAGGCTAGCTGTTCGCCCGGTTCCAGTCTTTATGCTGAGCTAAGGTAGGCTATACACCTCCAGGCTACAGCTTGATATTTACTGTACAGAGTAGTGTTGATTTTCTCATCTCATCTTGGCAACAAAACAAAAAAAAGTTTATGTTACAACTGTTAAACTATTCCTCTAAAACATAAAACTCTGTAATGCAATTCTATCAAGTAATACAATTGTAAAAGACAAGCAGCTGCTCATGTTTTGATGGCATTTTAGTACTTTTAGTGGAAAGGGAAACTTTGCCTACCCATAACAGAGAGCCGGGCTCCATTGCTCTGGCGAGTCTCTCCACTGTACTTGTGCTTTGTGATGCAGCGGTAGGTGGACAGAGCATCTTCCTTCTGCACTTCTGAGAAATACAGAGCGCCAAATGAGGTCAGGAAGAAACGGTTACCTGTGTAGGAGAGCAGAGGGGGAACAGGTAGGGGAGAAAGGAAGGATTAGTCAACATATATGAGTTGCAAAAATGATAAATAAGGCATGTCATTAGCATGTAAAGCAATGCAAGGGTTTACAGATAGAGGGTGCGGTGTGCTGCACAGATTGTAAAGCCCCACATTTTTACTTTTATTATTGCCGATATAAATATTATCGACTTTTACATTACATGTCACTTGTTAGACGCTTTTATCCAAAGCGACTTACATACTCAATACTGTGGACAATCCCCGCAGGAGCAATTTGGGGTGAAGTGTCTTGCCCATGCTGACTGCACTGGGGTTTGAACCTGAACCCCCTGATCCAAACACCAACACGCAACCCACTGCACCACACGCCTACGACTTCACTTGTGTCTCATGGGTGCATTGGGCAGAGGACTTTTCCAGTTTAGACATTTGAGCTTTGAGGCCTAATCTTTCTCTGTTAAAAGGTCATATTATCAGTAATCACATTGTGATTCGGACAAATGTGATTACTGTCCAGAATTGGGCTTTATTTACTTTCTCGCCTTCTCTATGGCTCAATAATATGTATATTTACTTGCACAATTTTACAGAAATAGAAGATGCTTCAATGTCTTTTCAAGTTGTATTCACTTTTCTTAATGGTGTACACACATTTATAACAATCTTCTGTATTCACTGTATTTTCTTTCTCATTTCTATACATTTGCTGAGGAAAAAGTGTGAGAAAGCCCTATTTGGTGAGGAAAAGGTCACTTCAGACATGTGATGCTATTGAAGTAGATGAGAGATGCCAACCTCTCTATCGTGAGACCCTCTTGAAAAACCGTGAGCATATTTTTCAGAGAAATCACTGATCTCCAAAGAATAGAAAACAGGACTAGAATATACATGTCTTCAAAAGGCCAAACCACAGTACTTGAACACAGGGGAGCTTTCAACAAACTCTGTCACATCCATCTAGTGAGAGTTACACAATAGAGGAAGAGCGATAAGGAAGACGAGAAAGAGAGAAGAGAGGGGGGAGTTATTGTAGGTGTTAATAATTGATGCGTCTCTGTGTGTTATGGTAACAGCAGATTAGTGTCATTTTCATTTCACATCAGTGACTGCTTGGTCTCCCTCTGATTTATCTACATGTCAATAGAGAAAGCATGTGCATGTGTGTCTATGTGTGCGAGAAGAAGAAGAGGAGAGAGAGATGGAAGGAGGAGAGTGTATTTCGGTGTTTGATTCTTTCCGCTTCTCTGCATCTTTTTGTATTCTGTTCCCCCAAAGGGTTATTTTAGATAGTGTGCACTTCCGAGTTTGTAGTAGATTGCAGATTGTTCGGTTATGCGGATGCTTTTGCAGTTTGTTTATGTGTGTTTGTGCGAACATTCTGCCTGTTGTTTGCTGTACATGATGTTTCAGTTGTCTCTTTGCAATGTTGACAAGAGAGGACTTGAGTTAAACACAGGTACATTGAATAGTTGAATACGGGAAATATATGCTGTACACACAACACAAAAACATACATAAATACACACTCATACACACACGCACACCTCAAAGCAATAGGTCAGCACCTAGTCACTGCATATTTATTCTGAAACACTTATGGTTCTAGCTGTTAGATGTGTCTGATTGTTGATGAAAAGCGGCTGCTGTAGTGTGAAAAATTCACAACATAAGCCGCAGTTTTATTTGGTTTTTATTTTGCTCTTAAATTATCCTCTTAGAGTCAATACTGGCAGTTAATAATTACACGGTTTGCAAGTCCTATGTTTTTGATTGACAAAATGTATGTATCAATGAACATGTGTAGATATAAATGTGCAAGTATCATTAAACAAGCCAGTGTTTGGGTGTGTGCGCGAATGTGTGTGTGTGTTAGCCCTGCCAAAATGTGAGCAACAATCGATGCATTTTATAGCTGCACAACTCCATCCAAAAGAGATTGATTAAAACAAAGAGGGCTGGCCTGGCTCCCTGCCATTCACACACACACTAACAAGACTGATATGTGAAGAATACTGAAGGCTTTACCTCTTGAGTCAAAGCTGCCAAGTTTGGACAGACTGATCTAAATGTGCCATTTTTCAAGATCACAGTGGATATTTCTTTATTGTTGCTCATTCTGTTGAATTTCATATTTTCCTATAAGTCAATTTGAAGTAAACTATGGCCAGTTTTTAGAAAAATTTCAAGGAGATGTCATTCCTCAACCAAAAGTCACAGATATTCAATCTAAAATGATAAAAACCAAGAAAAAATAAATGTTGGATGACTGATTACAGTACAACAAGTGGTGCTAACTAGGTTCTAGAGCTTGAGAGACCCCTTCAAATGTCAGATCGACATATTAATACGTATGATATTTTCATTTAGTAATTCTACAATTTGCACACACACACACACACACACACACACACACACACACACACACACACACACACACACACACACACACACACACTTGTAACAGCCTGTGCGTCTGCATGCATATGTGAAAGTTCAGACACACGTGTTTTCATGTGAGTCAGACTGTTGTGCTGAGTGCTAAGCGACGTAAGCTGTAATTTCCAAGCCTGCCCTTTTGTTACAACCTGGGTATTAAGCCTTACAGGATAATATGCACTTGGCGAGTAGAACCCTGTATAAAACACTGCTACTCCCTGTCACAACATGCCTGGAGAGAGGGGGGGTGGGGAGGGGAGAAAGTGGGGGGTAGAGTAAAACATTCAGAGATGGTTAAGAATGGAGAGAAAAGAGAGTGCAGGGGACATTAATGAGACAGTGTGTCAACGCTTGTGGCAAATAGATGTCCAGCTACACAACTTATCGACAGAAAGTAAAGCAAAACGAGCCAGTTCAGATGGATAAAAGATGAATACATTTTAAGAGATGTTGTTGATTATTTCTCTGATCAATTAATAATGTCATCACTATACCTTATCTACAGTGGCATATTAATGAAGTATTCTATTCTCCATCTTCCCTTGACTGCTGTGAGATTAGCCGACTACCCTTCACCTCCTCTCTCCTTCACTGCTGCTCTTTCTACCTGATACCTAAGTTCTACTCACTGCCTGCTCTCCTGCTGTCTGTGGAGATGTGACACACCTAAAACAGTGGAGAGGGTGTAGGCTGCACTGGAGGGAGGCAGGGG